GGCGCTGCAGAGCCTGCGGAGGGAACACGCCGTGCTCCACCTGAGAGCCACTGCCCTGAGCCAGGACATCGACCTCAAGGCCCAGCACATCACTGCCATCGAAGGTATTGTGTGCAGGGAAGTAGTGCCAGAGGATATAAGGGAAGTACTCTTGAAATTCTGGTCCTTCAAGCCACACACACACAAAAGACCCGCTGGCTTTCAATGCGCTGCACACCTCAGCTTCTGATTTCCAAAGGGCCCCCAAAAGCCATTTCCAACTAGATTAAAGGACTTCAGAGAAGTCAGGTGACTTTCCTAGAAGAAAGCATGGCCTGGGAGACCTGAACAACAAAAGAAATAATAAATCAAAGCTGAGTCCTCAGCTTTGATGAGGGCTTTGCATCCTTCCAGACCCATCAAACACAGCAATGCAGTGCCTATAGAATCATAGAATAAATTGGGTTGGAAAAGACCTCCAAGATCATCAAGTCCAACCCTTGATCCAACTCCAATTACTATATCATGGCACTAAGGGCCACATCCAATCTCTTTTTAAAAACCTCCAGGGATGCTGAATCCACCACCTGTTAATGTCTGAGGTGCTGCTTGTGGTGGGAATTACCAGCCTATAAATATGAGCTAATAGTGTCCTAGACCACTGCTTTGGATAGAGACAAGCAAACTTCATGTGGTTATTTTAAAACATGACTAAGGAAGAGCAAATGGGTGGCAGTTCTAATTTCATAATAAGTCTCGCACAAACAGCTTTAAAATAAACCATAAATTAGTAGAACGTAAGGCAAGCTGGAAAGAGCTGCCAAAACCAAAAGGGCAATGAACAGCTTAAAAATCACATCCCTTCAGAGAAGAAAGTTTGGTGTAGGCAACAATATCTGCTCCACTTTACACCTGTGGAGAAGGGGAAAGTTGCCATCCTTGCATAAAGATACAGAGATCTACACCAACCTTGATTTCCTTCTGTCGTTATTTCAGACAAACTGCAAAAAGAGCAAAAGCAGAGGGTAATGCTGGAGGCAACAGTCAGCCATTTGCACAGTGAGTACCACAGAGATGCACAAGGTAAGAGGCCTCTGTAGGTGCTGTGGACAATAATGTGCCTTTCTGGGTTCACAGACTTGATCCAGAACAACCAACAGAAGAGCCAGGAGGTGGCAGTGCAAAGGAAAGGTCAGCAAACTTTGTAACCCCCACTTAGCACTCCCTGGACACAAGAATGTTAGTCCTGACTCTAGGAGAAGTCTACACTGGTTTAGAATAAACGATTATTTTAGAGCTGCACAAAACGAGTTATTACATTTTGCTAGTTAACATTAAAACAGAAATGTATTTATGATGGCAAACACTTTAAAAATAAATGGATTTCATTACAAATTCTACTTCAGTGGCTATGCCATTTTTTTCCCCCCAAACAAAACACATTCCAGTTTATAATTGCAATTACAGCTGTACTTGAAAAAAAAAAAAGGAATAAAATGCATTTTAAATCTCCCTCCCCTCCATTTCTGGCAACTACTGAGAAAGATTGCTCTAAATATGATTAACATGTAGGTACAGCAGAGACAGGCCTGTGATAATGAACTGAGCTCTTGTGCCTTCTGCTGTGTGTGTAACATGTAAATATTATCCTTAAACTCCTGAGTAAACAAGATCTAAAGCAAACCCAGAGCCTGGACCTGTTTCTCATCAGCAGCCTGACTGTTTTCTAGACCAGGTTTTCACCACCCAGACCCCACCTCTCATTCCTACCAAGGAAAACCAAAACACTCTGTTAGAGCACCCTGAGGAGGAGGAGGAGGGAGAAGAAAGTCTGAAGGATGAGATGCAGAAAAAGACATCCCAGCTCACAGCAAAGGAGAACGAGGTGAGGAAGCCACTGAATTGTTGCTGGTTTAAGAGCTCCAGCAGCAGCACAACACACCAAAGGTCCTGGAGGTAATTCAAACTTGGTGTCCCCTGTAAGGATTCTCTCTGCTGATTTTTTATCCTGATACCAGCCTTGCCTAAATCTCCAGTAAAGTACCTCCATGGAAGGACAAGGTACCAGCAGCCCTTGGCTGTAGCAGCAGAGCCCTCTCCACACAAACCCATTTCTGTTGGCACAGACAAGAGTCTCAAGAGCCTCACAGGAAAAAGCCACATTAAGAACCAAAACCCTGAGCACAAAGGAGAGAGAGAAGGGAAAAAAAGGCTTGCAATAATAACAGTAATATGAATAACAGGCAGAGTCTGCTAACAAAAGCACTGCCCTTGCCACTGGGCTGCAAAAAAAAAAATCCAAGCCTTTCCAGCCTTTTACACATTCCTTTCCATCAATTTATCCTTCTGCCAACTAACAGCCCCACAAGCAGTGTTCAGACAGCAAGGATTTATCAAAAAAGGACTTATAAAAATGATTTATAACTTACTGTAGGAGAGCTGAGAGCCACACAGGGGAAGAGCTTGTCATGTTAATCCAAAAAAGAGAGAACAGCACCAACAGATCTTACCCAGCACCCCCTGGGGAAGGGTTTATAAAGCACAATCACAGCAAGAGGGAACAGCTGGGGAGGGGGCCCAGCTGCCCCCTCTTTGGCTCCTGAAGCCTCTGGGCACGGGCAGCTCCTTCCACAGCTGCTGCCAATGATCTGCTCATCAGAATGGCAGCAGGGTCTTGTGCCCTTCATGGAAGGGCCCTCCCTGGGTTTTGGGGTTGTGCAGCACAACCAAGCTGCCTGTCCCATGCGTCCCATGCCTCAGAGGGTTTAAGGGACTCTGGGATTCCTGTCAGGGTCAGTGAAATGGAGAATGAATTTCAGAATGAGAGGCAAACCCTGACGGGAGTTTGCACTGCACGTCTTCTTCCCGGTCATAAAAATCGCTATCCCTCCTTTCTCCGGTGGGATGTGAAGGTTGGCAGCAAAGCCAGGCAGGCCATGAGGTGGTGACAGATTGGGCACTGCCTCCACCACCACATTCCCAGTAACCCCGAGATCTGCTCTGTTCCCTGCAGGTACATGTGGACACACAGGCACACGTGGACACCGGGGCAGCAGGAGCGAGACCCCCCGGTCCGGGCGGTGCCCGCGCGCGGGCGAAGCTCTGCGGCCTCTGCGGGGGCCCTGCCAGGCTGCCCGGGTACCAAAGGGAGGGGACCCCCCCCGGTAACCCCCCC